CCTCCTCATCTCCCATCATCTCCTCCTCATCTCCCATCTCTTCCTCCTCATCATCTCCCTCTTCCCTCCTCCTCCTCCATCTCCCATCATCTTCCTCCTCCCTCCTCTCCCATCTTCCTCCTCCCTCCTTCTTCCCCTCTTCCCTCCTCCTCCTTCTCATCTCCCCATCATCTTCCTCCTCCTCATCTCCCTCCTCCTCCTCCTCATCTCCTCACGGATACAGGTGTGTGTATCTTTCATGCGTCACACCTGTTAAGACTCAACACAAGACAGGCTGGTGAGGGAGAGAGGCAGTGAGAGAGGGAGACAGTGAGCGAGGGAGGGAAGCAGTGAGGTGGCGAGGAAGTGAGGAGGGAGGAGGCAGTGGAGTGGAGTGAGGAGGAGGTGAGTGAGGTGGAGAGAGTGAGGAGAGGAAAGAGTGAGGAGACAGGAGGAGGAGAGGAGACGGTGAGGAGGACAGTGGGCGGGGGAGGCAGAGTGAGGTGGAGGAGTGAGGGAGGAGGGGCAGTGAGGGTGGAGGAGGAGGGAGGAGAGAGAGAGGGCAGTGAGGGAGGAAGTAGTGAGGTGGGAGAGTGAGGAGGAGGGAGAGAGGAGTGGAGGGAAGAGGAGAGAGGCAGTGAGGAGAGTGGTGAGGGGTGGGGAGGGCAATGAGGGAGGAGTGGTGAGAGGAGAGAGGCAGTGAGGGAGGAAGTGAGTGAGGAGGAGATCAGGAGGAAGTAGTGAGGGAGAGAGAGGAGGAGAGAGAGAGAGGCAGTGAGGGAGGAAGTAGTGAAATGGAGAGGGAAGTGAGGGAGGGGAGGGGCAGTGGGAGGGGAGGGAGGGAGGAGAGAGGAGCAGTGGGGGAGGAAGTGGTGAAGAGGGGGAGGGGAGGCAGTGAGGGAGGAAGTAGTGAGGGAGAGAGCAGTGGGGAGGGAGGGAAGAGTGAGGGAGGAGAGGCAGTCAGGGAGAAGTAGTGAGGGAGAGAGGGAGGGAGGGCAGTGAGGGAGAGTAGTGAGGGAGGCAGTGGGGAGGGAAGTATTGAGGACAGGTGTCGATGGTAGGCTCCGTCCTCCAAGACCGATGGTGTAATTTGGTGGTTAACTTCTGGTAGTAGTGGTGGTGGTGGTAGATAGTGGTAGTGGTAGTGGTGGTGGTGGAGGATGGTGGTAGTAGTGGTGGTAGAGGATGGTGGTAGTAGTGGTGGTAGGGGATGGTGTTGAGTGGTGGTAGAGGATGGTGGTAGTGGTGGTAGAGGATGGTGTTAGTGGTGGTAGAGGATGGTGTTAGTGGTGGTAGCGGATGGTGGTGGTGGCAGTGGAGGATGGTGTTAGTGGTGGTAGAGGATGGTGTTAGGTGGTGGTAGGGGATGGTGGTAGTGGTGGTAGAGGATGGTGTTAGTGGTGGTAGAGGATGGTGGTAGTGGTGGTAGCGGATGGTGTTGGTGGTGGTAGAGGATGGTGTAGTGGTGGTAGAGGATGGTGGAGTGGTGGTGAGGGGATGGTGTTAGTGGTGGTGGGGATGGTGGAGTGGTGGTAGGGGATGGTGTTGGTGGTGGTAGAGGATGGTGGTAGTGGTGGTGTGGATGGTGGTGAGTGGTGGTAGCGGATGGTGGTAGTGGTGGTAGCGGATGGTGGTAGTGGTGAGGATGGTGTGGTGGTGGTAGAGGATGGTGGTAGTGGTGGTAGAGGATGGTGGTAGTGGTGGTAGCGGATGGTGGTAGTGGTGGTAAAGGATGGTGGTAGTGGTGGTGGGGATGGTGGTAGTGGTGGTAGAGGGATGGTGTTAGTGGTGGTAGAGGATGGTGTTAGTGGTGGTAGCGGATGGTGGTGATGGTGGTAGAGGATGGTGGTGAGTGGTGGTAGAGGATGGTGGTAGTGGTGGTAGGGGATGGTGGTTAGTGGTGGTAGCGGATGGTGTTAGTGGTGGTGAGGATGGTGGTAGTGGTGGTGAGGGATGGTGTTAGTGGTGGTAGAGGGATGGTGTTAGTGGTGGTAGAGGGATGGTGGTAGTGGTGGTAGCGGATGGTAGTGGTGGGAGAGGGATGGTGGTAGTGGTGGTAGCGGATGGTGGTAGTGGTGAGAGGATGGTGGTAGTGGTGGTGGTAGAGGATGGTGGTAGTGGTGGTGGAGGATGGTGGTAGTGGTGGTAGAGGATGGTGGTAGTGGTGGTGAGGGATGGTGGTAGTGGTGGTAGCGGATGGTGTTAGTGGTGGTAGAGGATGGTGGTAGTGGTGGTAGAGGATGGTGTTAGTGGTGGTAGAGGGATGGTGTGGTGGTGTGGGGATGGTGGTAGTGGTGGTTGGAGGATGGTGGTAGTGGTGGTGTAGGATGGTGTTGGAATAGTGGTGGTAGAGGATGGTGGTAGTGGTGGTAGAGGATGGTGGTAGTGATGGTGACGGATGGTGTTAGTGGTGGTGAGGATGGTGTTAGTGGTGGTGGGGATGGTGTTAGTGGTGGTGGGGATGGTGGTAGTGGTGGTAGAGGATGGTGGTAGTGGTGGTAGAGGATGGTGGTAGTGGTGGTAGAGGATGGTGTGTAGTGGTGGTGGGGATGGTGGTGAGTGGTGGTGAGGGATGGTGGTAGTGATGGTAGAGGATGGTGTTGAGTGGTGGTAGGATGGTGTTAGTGGTGGTAGAGGATAGTGGTAGTGGTGGTGAGGATAGGTGGTAGTGGTGGTAGAGGGATGGTGAGTAGTGATGGTAGCGGATGGTGGTAGTGGTGGTAGCGGATGGTGTGTAGTGGTGGTTGTGGATGGTGGTAGTGGTGGTAGCGGATGGTGGTAATTATCGTGGTGGTATTGGCACGTCCCTCGGGAGGTGATAAAGGGGGTGACAAGAGGAAAAAATCATAGAGAATATAAATAAATCACATCGTACGCCCGGCAGCACTAACCAGTTCTTTAGACCAATCAGCGCCAGGGGACAGAGAGAGAGACCCCGCCCACCAACATATTGTCGGCCAACCCAAACTATCGTACCGCACTGAGGAATGACAACAATAATAATAATAATACAGTGTTGTTGTTGTGCATTATGCAGAAGACCCGACAGCAGCACCCTTACCCACTACCTCCTAAGACAACGCTTCCGTGACGCCTGCTGGACCACCACTCCACGACCCCCTGACGGAGACACGATGATCCTCCCCATACTGGCCAGATATTTTGTAAATAATATTGATTATGTGTTAAAGGAATATCCTTCCTTCCTTAGGCTTTAGTAAGCCCCTTTATAATATTTATACTGTATATACTTGTCACACTTGCCAGATGCTTCTGGTGTCATTGTACAGGGGTACCTAGTGACAGCACTAGGATCCTTCTCTATCAAGGAATAAACAATTGAAATTGTTGTTGTTGTCGTTTTTGTTGTATTTAAGATGGACCACAATACAACCCTGGTAATAAGGACAAATACAATAGCTAGTGTATAAAAGGAAATTGTATCATGCAATATAATGAAATCTCTATATAACGGACCTGGAATTAACGGTATATAATCCGTTATCAGGAGGGATAACTTCTAACGAGCCTCAATCTAATGAGATGACAGAGAGAGAAACAGACAGAGACAGAGAGAAACAGATAGACAGACAGAAACAGAGACAGATAGACAGACAGAGATGGACCGACACAGAAAAAGACAGACAGACATATACATAAGGACAGATAGAAAGAGAGAGAGAGAGAAAAGAGAGAAAAGAAAAGATATCAACACTCACCACACACACACAACACTGCAGCAAGACGGAGACAAAGCCACAATAATCTGTCCACTTCCTGCACTTATTTCCCGTGTTTACAGTCACTCACTTTTATCACCAGCTGTGTGTGTGTGTGTGTGTGTGTGTGTGTGTTTACAGTCACTCACTTTTATCACCAGCTGTGTGTGTGTGTGTGTGTGTGTGTGTGTGTGTACAGTTACTCACTTTTATCCAGCTGTGTGTGTGTGTGTGTGTGTGTGTGTGTGTTTACAGTCACTCACTGTGTGTGTGTGTGTGTGTGTGTGTTTACAGTCACCAGCCAGTGTGTGTGTGTGTGGTGTGTGTGTTTACAGTCACCACCATGTGTGTGTGTGTGTGTGTGTGTGTGTGTGTGTGTGTGTTTACAGTCACTCAATTTTATCACCAGCTGTATGTGTGTGTGTGTGTGTGTGTGTGTTACAGTCACTCACTTTTATCACCAGCTGTGTGTGTGTGTGTGTGTGTGTTTTACAGTCATCACTTTTATCACCAGCTGTGTGTGTGTGTGTGTGTGTGTGTGTGTGTGTGTGTGTGTGTGTTTTACAGTCACACTTTATCACCAGCTGTGTGTGTGTGTGTGTGTGTGTGTGTGTTTACAGCCCACTTTTTACCAGCTGTGTGTGTGTGTGTGTTTACAGTCACTCACTTTTATCACCAGCTGTGTGTGTGTGTGTGTGTGTTTACAGTCACTCACTTTTATCACCAGCTGTGTGTGTGTGTGTGTGTGTGTGTGTGTGGTGTTACAGTCACTCACTCTTTATCACCAGCTGTGTGTGTGTGTGGGTGTGTGTGTGTTAGTCACTCACTTTTATCACCAGCTGTGTGTGTGTGTGTGTGTGTGTGTGTGTGTGTGTGTGTGTGTGTTTACAGTACTCACTTTATCACCAGCTGTGTGTGTGTGTGTGTGTGTGTGTGTGTGTGTGTTGATAGTCACCACTTTATCACCATGTGTGTGTGTGTGTGTGTGTGTGTGTGTGTATGTGTGTATTTTATCACCAGCTGTGTGTGTGTTTACAGTCATTCACTTTTATGTGTGTGTGTGTGTGTGTGTGTGTGTGTGTGTGTTTACAGTCACTCACTTTTATCACCAGCTGTGTGTGTGTGTGTGTGTGTGTGTGTGTGTGTTTAGTCATTCACTTTTATCACCATGTGTGTGTGTGTGTGTGTGTGTGTTACAGTCATTCACTTTTATCACCAGCTGTGTGTGTGTGTGATCACCACTGCAACCACCACTACCACAACCCCATTAAAAGGAAAGATTCATCCGGCCCTTCACACCAGGCACCAGCTTCCTCAGCCGGCCCTCACACCAGGCACCAGCTCTCTACAGCCGGCCTCACACCAGGCACCAGCTCTCTACAGCCGGCCCTCACACCAGGCACCAGCTTCCCCCACAGCCGGCCTCACAACAGGCACCAGCTTCCCCACAGCCGGCCCTCCAACAGGCACCAGCCCCCTACAGCCGGCCCTCACACCAGGCACCCCACAGCCCCCTCACACCAGGCACCAGCTTCCCCAGCGGCCTCACACGAGGCACCAGCTTCCTCTACAGCCGGCCCTCCCCAGGCACCAGCCTCCACACCCAGCACCAGCCTCTACAGCCGGCCCTCACACCAGGCACCAGCTTCCCTCTACAGCCGGCCCTCACAACAGGCACCAGCTTCCCTCTACAGCCGGCCCTCACACCAGGCACCAGCAACATCCGGCTTCCTCACAATATCTAGAATTACCTGGCTTAGAGGCGCTCCTATACAATCCATTCCAGCCTTCAAAACGTAATGGCGCAGTGAAAGGCGCTCTCCATTATATTTCAGCTCTACTACTAAGAGAGGAAACTCCTTTCGGAAAGTAAATGGAGGAACATTTAATGGAATTGAGCAACAGCGGCGCCTCTAGCGGTTGGGGGCGGAGTTAAAACGCCTGGGTTGCGATGGTTCAGGATTCCATTTTGACGAGTCGAAGGTTAAAAGGAATTTTGTCTTTAAATAAACAGACAGACATGAAGAAAACAAATAGACACAGACACATAGGTAACAGACAGACACACACAACAGACAGACACATGGACACAAAATAAAATTCACATTAAACCAAACAAAAACCAGACTGATAAACAAACCAAACAAGCCCCAAACATTCAATAAACAAAACAAATACCCCAAATAAACAAGTCGATTTATTTTAACATTTTCCACTTTGCATATGAAGATGTTTTAGAAGGCCTCAACTAATGGCTTAACTTACGCTACACATTAAAGATGGAGGCCAAATTACCCCCTGAGACTCTACATTAACAAGATAAATTCCCTCGTTTCAAGGCGGTATGGCCGGAGATAAAAAATAATAGTAAGAAGAATATTTGGCACTGCCTCTGAGTCTGGCTAGTCACTATATGGCACTGCTCCTTGGCACTAACATGGGGCTAAGTACCTATATCTTGACACTCGCAAGTACCTATATCTTGGGACTAACATGGGGCTAAGTACCTATCCCTTGGCATTCCCCTGAGGCTAACTACCTATATCTTGGCACTCCTCCCCTGGGGCTAACTACCTATATTGCACTCCCCTGGGGCTAACCACCCATTGGCACTTCCCTGAGATTAACCACATATTCCTTGACACTGCCGTAAAAACAAGCCAACTTAACCAAAATTAACTTCCAAACCCAACCAAACCAAACTAAACATAACCTAACCCAACCAAACTTAACTAAACATAACCTAACCTAACCAAACTTAACTAAACATAACCCAACCTAACCCAGCAAACTTAACTAAACATAACCTAACCTAACCAAACTTAACTAAACACTAACCTAACCCAACACTTAACTAAACACTTAACTAGCCATAACCAAACAACTAAACATAACCTAACCTACAAACTTAACTAAACATAACCTAACCAAACTTAACTAAACATAACCTAACCTACAACAAACATAACCTAACCTAAAACCAACCAAACTTAGCTAAACATAACCTAACCTAATCAAACCTACTGTCTCTCAAGGAAAACCCATCAAGTTATAACTCCAGTAAGAAGGTAACATACTCGTATACTACCCACTCAACCTCCAACACCCAGTCACCCTCCAACCCTCCACCTTCAACACCCAGTCACCCTCAACCCTCCACCTTCAACACCCAGTCACCCTCAACCCTCCACCTTCAACACCCAGTCACCCTCCAACCCTCCACCTTCAACACCCAGTCACCCTCCAACCCTCCACTTTCAACACCCAGTCACCCTCCAACCCTCCACCTTCAACACCCAGTCACCCTCCAACCCTCCACCTTCAACACCCAGTCACCCTCAACCCTCCACCTTCAACACCCAGTCACCCTCCAACCCTCCACCTTCAACACCCAGTCACCCTCCAACCTCCACTTTCAACACCCAGTCACCTCCAACACTCCAAGTCACCCTCAACCCCACCACCTTCAACACCCAGTCACCCTCACCCTCCAACACTCTCAAGTCACCCTCCAACCCTCCACCTTCAACACCCAGTCACCCTCACCCTCCAACACCCAGTCACCCTCCAACACTCAAGTCACCCTCCAACCCTCCTCCTCGACGCCTCAACCACGTGTATATTATAAATGAGGTAAATATTACTTCCCTTAAACCTGCCTGGAGGAGGAGGATGTTAACTCGCCGCCATATTTAACACTAATTCCCATATTTAACCTTAAGACGACAGGTAATATACGCTTAAACATCTCCAGATACGATAAAAAATAACACGATTTTCTCAGACTCTATTATGTATGGCAGGTAGCGAGAGAAGGTACAGTATAGTCAAAGTGTTAACTCGCCGCCATATTTAACACTAATTCCCATATTTAACCTTAAGACGACAGGTAAGTTACATTTAAACATCTCCAGATACGATAAAAAAAATATAACTCAAGACCTTGTGAGAGACAGGTAAGTGGGCCAGGTAGCAAGGGGCCCTAAAAGGAATGAATGAATTTATAATCTGGCGGGAGTATGTTGGCGGCGTGAGTCAGTCCGCCCTGACGTCTGGGAGTGAGGCAAGGGAGAGTGCCAGGGTGAGAGTAAGGGTGCCAGGGGAAGAGGTGCCAGAGTGAGTAAGGGTGCCAGGGGTAAGAGTGCCAGAGCGAGAGTGACAGGGTAAGGTGCCAGGGTGAGAGTGAGAGTGCCAAGGTTGAGTAAAGGGTGCCAAGGGGTAGGGTGCCAGAGTGAGAGTGACGGGTAAGTGCCAGAGGTAGGTGAGGGTGAAAGGAGTAGAGTGCCAGGGGTAAGAGTGCCAGAGTGCGAGTGCCAGGGTAAGAGTACCAGGGTGAGAGTAGAGAGTGCCAGGGTAGAGTGAAAGAGTGAGAGTGAGGGTGCCAGGGTAAGAGTACCAGGGTGATAGTGTGAGGGGTGCCAGGGGTGAGAGTAAGGTGTGTCAGGAGTGAGTAAGGTGTGGGGTAAGTAAGAGTATCAGGGTGAGTAAGAGTGCCAGGGTAGAGTAAGAGTGCCAGAGTAAGAGTAAGAGTGCCAGAATAAGAGTAAGAGTGCTAGGGTGAAGTAAGAGTGCCAGGGTGAGTAGAGTGCCAGGGTAAGAGTAAGAGTGCCAGAGTAAGGAGTAAGAGTGCCAGAGGGAAGTAAGAGTGCAGAGTAAGAGTAAGAGTGCCAGGGTGAGAGTAAGAGTGCCAGGGTAGAGTAAGAGATGCACAGTAAGAGTAAAGTGCCAGAGTAAGAGTAAGAGTGCCAGGGTGAGAGTAAGAGTGCCACAGTAAGAGTAAGGTGCCAGAGTAAGAGTAAGAGTGCCAGGGTGAGTAAGAGTGCCAGGGTGAGGTAAGAGTGCCAGGTAGAGTAGAGTGCCAGGGTAGGTAAGAGTGCCGGTAGAGTAAGAGTGCCAGGGTGAAGTAGAGTGCGGGTGAGAGTAAGAGTGCCAGAGTAAGAGTAGAGTGCCAGGGTGAGTAAAGAGTGCCAGGGTAAGAAGTAAGAGTGCCAGGTAAGAGTAAGAGTGCCAGAATAAGAGTAAGAGTGCCAGGGTAAGAGTAAGAGTGCCAGAGTAGAGTAAGAGTGCCAGGGTAGGTAAGAGTGCCAGAGTAAGAGTAAAGTGCCAGAGGTGAAGTAAAGAGTGCCAGAGTGAGAGTAAAGTGCCAGGGTGAGAGTAAGAGTGCCAGGGTAAGGTAAGAGTGCCAGCTGTGGGGGACCAATATTGTGTGCTGGTTCTGTATCAACAAGGATCAGCTGATTATCCTTTAAGCTCTTGCTATTTACACGGGGGCAGCGGGGGCTGGGAGGGAGGTGGGCTGGGAGGGAGGTGGGCTGGGAGGGAGGTGGGCTGGGAGGAGGAGGAGGTGGGCTGGGAGGGAGGGAGGGGGAAAGGAGGAGGAGGACTGCTCGTTCATCCAACACTACCATCAATACCACTACTACCACCATTAACAAACCCATTACCACCACCATCACTACTACCACCATCACCAGCACAACCACCACCACAATTATCACCAGCACAACCACCACCATTATCACCACCACATCCTCCACCATTATCACCACCACCATCACCATCTCCAACACTGATTAGGGAAGTTTAGAGCAGTACAGGTCTATTAAGGTCACGAGGTAGTTAAGAGGACTCTGAGTTGTTGAGAGTCTGCCAGAGTCCAACTGAGTCTACCTTGAGTCCCGGCAGAGTCCACCCACATCCCCTCAGTTACCCCCACACCCAAAGTCCACTCACATGCCCACAATCAACCCACACACACACATAATCAACTCACACACACATGCCCACAGTCGACCCACATACACATCCACAATCCACCTACACAGCTAGTCCACCCACATCCCCACGGCCCACCCACAGTCCACCCACCCACCCACAGACGGTCGAGTGAGTCAGGCAGTAGCTGGGCCAACTCGTACAATAGTTCTCCACTTATGTAAACGAGACGCCCACACACACACACACACACACACACACACACACACACACACACACAGAGAGGGCGAATTAGGGACATGTACCGTGAAGGACCGCAATGGGACATGTACCAAGACCGCAGATATAAGGTGGGTACAGACAGACAGACAGACAGACAGACAGAGATACACAGACAACAGACAGAAAGAAACAGATAAGCAGACATACACAGACAGACAGACAAAGATAAACAGACACAGATTCAGACAGACAGAGACAGACAGACAGACAGACAAAAAACCTAAAACAATAATCACAAACATCACCAACCCTCTCCTCCTTCTCCCCCTCCCCCCCGTCCTCCTCTTCTTCCCGTCTTCCTCCCGTCCTCCTCCCGTACGACAGTTTCCACCAGGTCACCGGCAGCGAGCGCACCATAACACACAGGTAGACGTTAAACACTGCCAGACGTACGATGGATATTGAGAACACCTGGACGCCTCGATTACATATTAAATTAAGAAACTTCCCAGGGTCATGGTGTGTATAGAAGTCAGTTTTATCAGTGTGTGTTATATTAAGTTCACATACATACATACATATATACATATATATATACATACTTAGCATACATACATACACAAACAACTATGGCCATTTCTCGGTAATACTAAACCTTTATAGAACTTCTCCCTTAACTGTATACAACAGAATGTATCGATTTGCTATTTACAGCCTCGGTGCAATATGGACGCCATCTTGGAATTGGTTCATTACGTCGTAGTTTAATGGAAATCTTTAAGGTAATCAACTTTGAGATTATACCTTA